AGGGTGTGCCGAAATGGGTGGGGCGGCCGCATGTTGTCATGGCCACGAAGCGCGTGAGGGGTGTGCCGAAATGGTCATTGCACCGACCTTGCAGACGTGCTACACCGGATTTTTGCTTGGATGTCTGTCAACGCAAAATGCCGAAACGGCAAGCGAAAAACGAAGTGAATTGCACGTGGATCTTCTGTATTCTTCGTTCCTGACCAACAGAAATCCACACGAAAGTCACTTCGAAATGCAGAACAACATTCTCCAAGACAATCCGGGCCCATTCCATTGTTTTCCGAACGAAATCCCGTCTGCGATGTTGGCGCCATGAAAATGGGCATGCGGAGAACAGATGCAAGCATGGGAAGTTAAGGATGAGAGAAGAGAACGCGGGAAACCACAAAATGATGGGGGAACAGCTGAAGTCGACACGCGTCACCCTGGGAACGGTGGGACTCAAACCCATCGGTTCATCTGCATAGTGAGCAACAGCATGGGGTCATACATTGTAAGAAACCACAAGGTGACACGTGTCACCACGAACGCTGCGCGAGAAAAGGTCACTGGCTCACTTGTAATATGAACTTTGATATGCGAACTTTGATATGGGGTCACCTATTGTAAGAACGCACAGAAATGTCACGTGTCATCCCGAAAACAGCGAGGCAAACAAGTTTCTTCACCCGTATTCTGCGGGTCAACATGGTGCCACACAGTGAAAGACCGCACAGAGGAGGTGGCGCCTGCCACCCCGAAACATGCGTGCAACAATCGAATTGCTTCACCTGTGCAGTCGGAGAACGGCCAGAAGCACATTCCCAACAAGCCTAAACCCCTCCACTGCCAACACGCCCCAAACCATGCGGTCACTGATGGTATCCCTCCGACGGGCCCTCCGACCTCACATGCCCTGGCTTGTCTGGGAAACTGCGATGGACGTGTCCAGATCGAACCTTAGCGTTGATCATCGTGAGCATGCGGACATACCGCCTCATTGCCCCATCGGCTCTAGCAATGGACTTGGGCTCTAGGCCCTGGCAACCACACATAAAATGCCACCATCACCCCTGTCCCGACGTGTTCCGACTTCTGAGAAGCCGTGCGCGGCCCGCCTTCCCAAGCCCTTAGCCCACGGCCGCGCAGCCCCTGAGGCCCCAGAGCCCCAACCTCTGGAAAACTTAATGTGTTTCCCAACGGTCCCCTCAACACCCAGCCCCAGATAACACCACAACAGACTGGCGCAAACCACTTGACTCCCGTGCATTTTGGGTCTCAACATGGCATGACACATTGTGGAACAACTCGTGTTTCTTGTTGCCCGCGAGCGCCAACTGAAAACCAAACGCAACAACAAAAAGCAAACGCAAAACCGAACACTGACTGGGGATAACCGATTGTGTCACTCGTCTTCTCGGCATCAACATGGGATCGCCCGTGGTAAACCAACGCGCTTTTACAAATGCGCGCGCGCGGCGCCATGCGAACGCTCAACGCTTTTTGCAGTTGTAAGCTCAACAACTGAATTGGGCACGGACAGTGTTCGCTTGCACCCTTGGCATCAACATTGAATGACTTGTGATGCAACTGCACATGTCCGTTGTACTGCGCGCGCGGACGCGCACACGCGGCGCAATCTGAACATCAAGCGCACATGGCCGACGTACTTGGACAATCAAATGGTGATCAACAATTGTTGCACTCGTATTCTTGGCCTCGGCATTGGATGATACTTGTTCAGACGTGCGCACTTTTGATTGTGCGCGCGTGCGAACGCACGCAACGCCTTACGGAACATAATAGCATGCGGTCTACGTAAACTCGAAAATTGCGTGGTCAAAACGGTTTGTTGCACTTGCATTCTGGACCTCAGCATGGAAGACGTGTTGTAATTCAATGCGTCTTTATTCTTGCTCGCGCGTGCGCGCGCAGACGGTGCCATATGTAATACCGTTGCAGCGTCGAAATCTGAATCACTTGCACTCTGAGCCTCGCCATGAACACCTCTGTTGTAAAGCAATGCAGGTTTCGTATTGCGCGCGCGTGCGCGCACAGCGCCACATCAAACACCATCGCACATGGCAGGCTTAACCTCGAAAGCGAGCAAGTGAACCTCAACAATGTCACTCGCATTCTGAGCCTCAACATTGGATGCCATACTTTAGAACAAAACGCGTTTCTCGCCGAGCGCGCGTACGCGCACGCCATATGAAAACAAATGGCGAATGGCCAACTTGACTTCGACCACTGAATGGTGAACCGTAATTGGTTTAATTGCCTTCTGGGCCTCACTATTGGGAAACACCATCCTCATCTGAAACACATCGAGAGCACCCTGTCCAAGTGACCCAGAAAAGTGAACTTATACCGACGAACTTTCGAACATCCTTCTCGAACTATAATTGTGATTCCGCCTTTCTCGGGCTCCATTTTGACCATCATACTGACACCATACCTTGTAAAGAAACACTGCCATCCCGAGAACCGTGACGGACCAAGGCTTCACTTGTATTTTGAGTGTCAGCATGGACATACCTTGAAATGAGGCACAGAAAACGATGACACGTGCCATTCTGAAGAATTCACAAAACTGAAATGACTCATGTATTCATTAGTGACCTGGGCGTCGGCCCGAAAACGGAGTGAGACAACAAACACGCATCCTTCCACTTGTAGTAGGGGCTCCACAATGCGGATACATAGGAAGATATTGCAGAGGTGATACGCGTCAACACGACAAATGCATTATAACAAATCTTTCGCTTATAATATGATCGTCGACATGTGGCCATCCATGGTCAGAAATCATAGAGGTGGCACGTGCCACCCCGAAACATGTAAGCATAACCAATCGTTCCACCTGCTATTCTGAACGTCGGCATGGGACCGCAAGTGGCAACAACGCACAAGAGGTTGACGAGCGTCACCCCGAAACCAACACATACTCACACGAACCAGCCTGTCGGCATCCCCTGCAACCCCGCAAGACCCTTCCCCTCCCTCCACCCTCATCAACGACTCGCAAGCGCTTCTCAGAGCCCAACGGGCCCGCTCAGCTGCCTCGCGTAAGTTTTTGATGCGCCCCTCATAATTTCTCCAGGCGCCGTAGTAGTTGGAAGTATTCGAACAGCCGCGAGCGCTGGATGACGTATGACGGAGTGTCGGGCAACTGTGCAGAAAGGCTGGTGCGACGGCGCCTGGGGTTGGGCAGACGGATGCACAGTCCAAATCCGAAGTCAAAGACAGGCTGGGCAGACATATGAATGCCAAATGTGAAGACACGTCGGTGCATCGGCGACCGCGGGGTCATATATAGATAGATGGGCAACCGCCAGTAGCCAAGTCACGCCGACGGTGCGGCACCGCCGGGTTCTCGAATAGCCACCAACATACGTACAATTCATTACGCATGACATCCCATCAAATCAGGTGACGTTGGTTTGTACTTGTTTGCGGCCTAGGCCTATTTGCTGCACGCTGGTGTCCCAGCCTCGAGTGTAAGAAAATACAGAAAGGTGACACGGTCGCCCCGAAAACTGTATGACAAACCAAAGGATTCATGTGTGGTCTGAGCGTCAGGACTAAGTCAGACATTATAAGACAGCACGGAAGTGACACGAGTCACCCAGAAAACTGTGTGAAACAAACACTCTTGCGTTTGTCGCATGGGCGCCACGATGTGGTCATACATAGACAGAGATCGCAAAAGTGACACGCGGGACCCGACAAATCTGTTACAACCATATTCCCGCTTGTAACATCATTGTCGACATGTGATCACACATGGTCAGATACCCTAGAGGGGGCGCGTGCCACCCCGAAAAATGCGGGAGGGCAACCAATCGTTTCACCTGCCATTCTGAACGTCGACATGAGGACACACTTTGTAAGAACGCACAGAGGTGATGCACGCCACCCCGAAGCCATCACATACTCACACGAACCAGCCTGTTGCAACCTCTGCCATCCCGCAAAGCCACCCCCCCCCACCCTCACCAACGCCTCGCAAGTGCTTTTCAGAGCCCAACGGAACCGTTCAGCTGCCCAGCGTAAGCTTTTGATGCGCCCCTCAGAATTTCTCCAGACGCCGTAGTGTAAATGTTCGAAAGGCCGCGAGCGCTGGATGACGTACGACAGTGTGTCAGAAACATGTGCAGACAGGCTGGTGCGAGGGCTCCTGGGATTGGGCAGACAGATGGGTAGTCCAAATGAGAAGTCAAAGACAGGCTGCTTCTGCGGCGCATGGGGATGGGCAGACAGGTAAATGTCAATTATGAAGACACGTCGGTGCGACAATGACCGCGGCGGTCAGTAGCCAAGCGATGCAGACTGTGCGGCACCGACGTCTGAGTAGCCGCCAGCATGCACATCAATATGCATGACATCCCCTCGTATCCGGTGACATTGGTTTGCACGTGTTTGCGACCTTAGCATGCTTGCTGCAGGGTGGGATCCCAGCTTTGAGTGCCGCGCATCCTCGCAGCCTTGACATACGTATCCTGTGCCCAGAGGACTGCGATAACCAGATCATGAGGCCTTCCACCGCCGCAGTCTTGACCACGTGGGCCACGGCTGTGCCGCGCTTCGTTGCGATATGTTTGCCCCCGCATCCGCGTGCAAACACGGGGGGATATACCATGCAGGGGTGTCAATCGACAAACAGGCAAATGTGCTGAACGTCGCAGTGGTCTAAAATTGTTACGGACCTCCCCCCTCCACTATTCCCCCCTATTCCGTATCCTCTTGCTCAGCTTCCTCCTCCTCCTCCTCCTTCACCTACCCTCCTCCTCTTCCTCCTCCTCCTACTTCACCTGCCCCTCTTCGTCCACGTCCCCTCCCTTCCCTCCTCGCGTTCCTCTTCGCATTCTCCTACCACCCTCTTTGCCTTTCCCGCTCGTCCTCGTGTTTCTCATTTTCTTTTCTTCCTCCGCCTCCGTCTCCTCCTCCTCCTGCTGCTGCTGATGCTCCTCCTCCTACTCCTCTTTCTCTTCCCCCCTCCCCTCCCGACTCCAAGCCTTCTCGGGCGCCAACACACGCAGGGCCCCTCCTCCGGTCGCTGCGGCTCCTCCTGGCGCGCGGGAGTCAGGGCGGCCGCCACTACTGTGCTTCTTCCTGGGCGTTCCATGCCCGCCCCCTTTGCCTCCTCCGTTTTCCTCCTCATCTTCTGCCTCCTATTTCCTTTTCTTCGCTAAGAGCCTTAGTGCCTCCAACGTGCCCCCTGTCGCATTCAGGCATGACAGGACTCCAAGTGCTGTCTTGCACGGCTTCTGCTTCTGTTCCAGTTCTATGCACCTCCCATTTCCCCACACTTACTAACGTGAATCGCCCCTCTGTCCCGAGGCTTCCTGGGCGCCCCGACACCTCCCTGGTGCTCTCCAGGTGGTCCAAGATGTCCGACAACTTTCGAACAGACCCCAAGGGCCTCCAAGAGGCTCCAACACATCCCCGATACACTTTCCAGGAGGGCCTCGAGAAACCAAGAATATAGATTTCCTGATGGATTTCAACAAATTATATTTCTACGCTTTTCGGTTGAATTCCGCTCAACTTGCGGTTTCGAACTCCCCCACAAAACCAACTAGGAACGGAAACCCTCCCCCAGTGTATATCCCCCCGATAGGGAGATGCCTAAGCCACTCGTGGTATTGTGGTTATGCTCTTTTTCGGTGTTCGTTAAATATTTGTGTTTCTCTCTCTCTCTCTCTCTGTTAGTTCTTGTTCTGGTTGAAATATGCAAATGTGGCATAATTGAAAAGCCCACCCGCCCGCTGGGCATATGCGATGTCACGAGTCAATTGTTCCAACTCTCTTAGTCTCCTGCGGGCAGAGGTTTCCTTATCCCCCCTACCTCCCCTCCCTGGGTCTGGATATGTTTATTCTGCGACGCGTTGGAGCGTTCAGGATGGCTCCAAGACGGCCGCCCCAGACAGCCCTATCTGGTTTCGAATAGAATGCAATACAGCCCGAGGTGGGTCACGCCATCCTCCAACATGCCTCCCAGGGGCGCCAGGACCGTCCCAAGACGGCTCCGAGTGGCCATGCCCCCCCCCCGAGAGCTCCCAACCTTTTGACAACTTAACTAAGTCACTGAACTTCGCGCATCGCGCCCCGCGATTATCTTCGCGCCTTTGCGCCCCCGCGGCGCCCCCTTGGAGAAGGGCGACCTCATGATTATTGTTTTCCGCACTATCGCTTCCGACGGGCTCTTGGATCCTCAAGATGGCTGTGAAATCGCCCACAACGAGGGCCCCAAGACGGCCCCCAAAGCGCCACACCAAACCATTCTTCGGCCTCGGAGACAGGGGGCCGTGATTGAGACCCCCTACATTATTTGACCGATGGCCTCCACGATTGTCCCACGGCCCCGGAGAGGGCCCCAAGAGTGCCCCAGAAACTCTCCGAAATAGCCACACGATGAGCCAAATACGTTGTCAGAAAAACTCCCCTTCGAACGACCCGCGAATGCATGTATGGTTCCTTCCTGGGCCTGCTCAGGCTGGCCCCGATCTTCAGTTTGACGGCTGGGAACGCTGAGTAAGGAATGCGGGGCATGTCTGGCCACGGCGAGCCTCGTCTACGAATAGGTTCCACGATCTAAGGAGCGGGCCTGGCGAGATCATTTCTTCGGATGCTTGCCTTGATGAGTAGAGCCCAAACGTCAACGCACATACTCTCTTACAGTAAACCTGCTGGGGGTCTCTGGATTCCTGCAGCCCCCTTCGTGCCGCCCAGCTCCTCAGCCAGGCGCGATGCTTGAATCCTGAAAAGCTCCGAAACTCATTGACAGTACACAGCGCTCTGGACCACGGCGTTGGTCGAGCGCTGCAATCAAAAGTACGCGCCGTCGCCGCGCTGACGACCGTAACCCGTCCAAGGCAATGACAGCGCGGGGCGAAAGACTGCAGGCCAAAATGGCCAGGCCAAAATGGCCGCTCATGCCTCTGGTTCAGACCTTCGCCTGAAGGGCACTCGAGAGAGGCGCGTCCGAGAGCTCGACATTCATCATCTTCAGCCCTCGGAGCATCGCCGCCTGGTCGAGGAACTTCGTCCCCAGGTCCGCCGGGTTCGCCCGGGAACCTTGGCCAGTTGAAACCGTCCGTCCTTGAGTGCCTTCTGCACCCGCAGCGTCGGCGTCTCGAGGCGTCGGACTTTGCCGCAGCCCCGTCGTCGCATGATGCCAAGAGCAGCCGCCGAGTCGCTCCAGATGCGAAGGCTCATTTTCCCTGCCTAGGCCCTGGCACAGTGACTGCATGCCGATGGCCCTGCTGGCCGCTCGCACACTGCCGTAGAACTCAGCCTCCCCCGAGCTCATGGAGATGGGGATTTGAATCGTCGATGCCGTCACGATCAGGTGCTGCCCATGTTTGATCACGACTGAACTGGTGCTCCTCCGCGTGATCGGGCAGCCTGCCCAGTCAGTGTTCGAGTAGATGTTCATCACCGTGGGCGCCCGCTGTCGGCCCCACTTCCAGATAGCCCGCGGCGCCCCGATCAAGAAGCGTCCAGCGCGCTTCAAGAGGCGGAGGTGTCGCTCTGTCGGCTTTTGCATGCCGCGAGCGCACTCCTTGGCCGTGAACTGCACTTCTGGCCGGTCGAACGCCAAGTAGCCCAGCCTCATGCACGCGCTGCGTTACTCTGCCGCCTCGTGCTCGTTCAGCTCGCGCTCGACCTCAGATGTCAGCTTCTGGCTCAGCCCAGGCGTGCTCAATGACTTCGTAGTGCGGGGGTCCATTCCGAGCTGTGCGTGCAGGATCTGCGCGTGCCTGGGATCCGCTTCGTACTCGATGGCATGAAATCCATCTCCAGGCGCCTCGCGGCTTTCACCAGCGTGGGGTCCAGCGGTGGGCCGGTGAGATCGTCGTGGAACTCGGTCCTCAGCGTGTCGCGCCACCTCCCGACGAAGTCCTTCAGGCTGATCTCCTCGTCGTCCACGTTCGGCCCAGCATCCAGGGCCGAAAGCGCGAGATCCTTCTTGTTCCCAAGGTGACGGCGGAGACCACGGAGGATGGCACGGAGGAGCTTAACCGGGCACCTCTCCGCCACGCGCATGTTTCGGCCGACGAAGGTGGAGTGCTGGTGTTTGCTGCCAATGCCAATATCATTGTGGCAGCGCTTGCAGACCTCATCCAACACCTCCTTGTTATTACTCATCCATCCTGTCGGCTTCTTGGCGAGCCCGTCGCCGTGCGCGTCCGCAACCACCGGACCGAACGCGCGCTGGTCGCCTCGCCCGACCTCGACGCCGGGGAGAGCCATCACGTCCTTCACGATGTCCAGGTCCCAGCCGTCCGCGCTCCAGGGGTGTTCGTGCAAGAACGCGCGGTCGTTCTTCACCTGCAGCGTGTAGAGCCCCATCACGAGCCTCAAATGCTCGTACCCGATGGCATAGGCCTCGCGCTGCTTCTCCGTGTCCTCGCTCAGGTACTTCAGCATGGAGAACGGCGCGCAGCGAGGGCTGCCCAAGATGAAGTACACCTCGTAGTGCTCGATCAGCTCCCGGCGCTGTCGCTGCTGCTGGCGGTCGGTCAGGTCCCAGCCAACCCTCAAGTCGAACGAGCCGCCGTGGACCAGACCGAAGAGTGGGGCAAAGCCCACAAGCCTATTCGGGCAGAAGACCTCCATCACGTCGGCCTTGCGCCCGCTGTAGCCGAGGGGGAGCAGGAGGGCACTGATCTCCTCCTGCATGTTGTCGTCGCCTGGGTCGTGGGGTTCCGGAGCCATCGCCGCGTCGGCCGCCGCCGCGGCCTCAGGTGCTGGCGGCGCCTGCTGGGCTGGGGCTGGACCACCACTACCGGACGAGCCGCCCCCTTGGTAGACAGGCCCGGCGACGTCAGTGCGATGCCGCTTCCGCTCGCGGGCATCCTCGAGCCTCTGCTTCGCCTCCTCGTCGTCCTGCATCGCCTGCTCGATCCGAGCGCGGCGCTCTGCTGAGTGGGCCTGCGCCCGGGCGCCGTTGAGCATCGCGGCGCGGCGCAGCCGTAGCAGCCCGAGGAGACCCCGTACTTCGCGATCTCGACGTCCTTCCTGATGTAGGCGGCCCGCGGCCCTGCCGGTGGCCGCCCGACTCGGGGGGCCCGGGGCGGGAGGTCCGCGACCTCGGGGATGGGCGCCAGAGATCCGCCCACAGGCGCGACCGGCGCCGGCGCGGGCGCTCGGATCTCGATGGCCACCGCTACTTCGTCCACCGCCGTGTCCGTCGGCACTGGCGCCCACGGCTTCCCCACGAGGCTGCTCAGCACAGGTCCTTGTCAGCCCGCTGCTCGACCGTCAACCGCTTGAAGGTCCTGGCCCGTAGCGCGCCCACCTCCGTGCCAATGTAGACCTCGTCCGTCCGAAGCGCGGGCCCCAGGTAGAGCCCGGCGAGGAACTTGTCCTCGATCCTGGCCTTGCGCTTGCCCCCTGGGAGGTACAGGACCTTCTCCGAGAAGCAAGCCAGGTCCTTGTTGAAGGGGCGGCCGTCGGCCGCGCCGAAGCTCCCAAGCCGCGCGGCCGTTCGCGCCCCGCCTGCCCAGGTTGATGGACATGGCCGCGAACTCGACCATCCACAGGGTCACCGGGTGCTCGACGCCAATGCTCACGCCGTGGAGGTCGTCCACCTGCGCCCGCGCCGCCCTAACCTTGGCCTTGACCTCGCGCGCCGCGTGCTCGGCAAGGCCGTTGCCCTGAGAGTCGCCGACCGCGCTCTCCTCGGGCACCGTCTCGACGCCGTGCTCCTTCTTGAGCTTGGCCCCGACGCGGGTCTTCAGGGCGACGAGCGGCGCTCCGCCGTCCGAGCGGAAGACGAAGCGCTTGCGGCCAGCCGATGCCAGCCTCCTGGACCACGACTTCGCCTGCCAGGGATGCTGCGTCCCCATCGATGGAACCACCGACGCGTGGAACCAACGCTGCTTCGAATCCTTCCCGACCAGCAAAGGCGCGGCGTCCTCTCGTTCACCGAGGTAGCCGTAGTCGATGCCAACCACCGCGAGCGCCGACTCCTGGCGGTCCTTCGACTGATGGCCTGCGGACAGGCCCCTGCCGGAGACGCACTCCCGGCACCGTGCCCTGTAGAGCTCGTGCAGAACCTCATGCGCGGCTCGCTCGGCCGCCGTTGGCGCTGCGGGCCCCCTCGCCGGCCGTGCCGGCGGGCCCTCCGCGACCTCCTCGTGAGCCGCGCCTGGCTGGCCGGCCTCGCCCTCGGGAGGCTCGCGGCCTGCCACCTCGACCGGGCAGACCTCAGGCACGTACGGGTCAACGTGCATGTCCATCTCGTAGACCTTGTTCCTGCGGCGGAACTAGACGACGTCTCCGCGACGCTCAGCAACGGCTTGCTGACGTCCGCCACCCTGAACTTGGCAGCGCGTGCCTGGGATGCCCCAGGCATCGCCCCCGCGAGAAGCCTCTCGCTCTCGTCGTTCACGTAGTGGCCGGGGGCGGTCTTGTACGAGATAGCCTGGCCACCCTCGTGCACCGGGTAGTCTGCGCACGAGCCGCGCGGCAGCACCGAGGCCGCCGCACACGAGTCGATGCCCGCGCGCAAGATGCCGTTGAGCTTGACCTCCTCCGCATCCGAGTTGCCGTGGATCATGTTCAGGCCCAGGGCCGCGCCGATCGCAGAGTCGACCAGTTCGCCTTGTCCGGCCGCGGGTCGTAGGTAATGAGGGGGTGGAAGTTCGCGAACGGGTAGCTGACCTGCTCGCCCGCGTCGTTCAGGTAGAGTGCTGCGACCTGCCGAGAGATCGCGCCGGACATCGCCGTCGCCGGACTCAGCCTCGTAGTCGCAGCCGTCGAGATAGAGCTGGCCGCCGACGGCGCAGTCTTACTCGTCGACTGGGAGGCGTTGATGCGAGCCAGCGTCTGCTCCATGCTCGCCAACGTCCCCCTGTGCTTGCTTGGGCATTCGCGCTGGGTGTGGCCGTGACCGCCGCAGCCCCAGCAGAGGGGTCCAAGCTGCTGGCCATGCGACTTGCTGCCGGTCTTGCCCTTGCCGTCGGACTTGGACTTGCCCTTGCTGTCGCCCTTGCTCTTGCCCTTGCCACTGGACTTGCCCTTGCCTTTGCCGTCGCCCCTGGACTTGCCCTTGCCGTCACCCTTGGTGAACGCACTCAGATCCATGGGCACGGGCACTGGGGCGATGGCGCTCTGGGCACGGCGGACGTCGGTGACCTCGTCGGAAATCCTGCCACTCCACCAGACTGGTCGCATTGAGCTGGCGTAGAGGGCCTTCCTCGAGCTGCCGAAGGACGATGCCGATCCTCATGGGGGCCGTGATGGCCTCGCCGCTCCTCTGCTCACACCTGAGGAGCTCTCGCTCGAACAGCGCCAGCCGGTCCTCGACATCGCCGGTGAACGTGAAATTCATGAGATTCAGCAGCTGTCCCGCGATGCGGGACCTCGCAGTCGGTTCGTAGTACTCGACCAGCTTGCGCCAAGCCTGGAAGCCCTCATTCTCGCCAGCGTTCGCGATCGTCGTCAGCGGGTGCTGCCGGCAGAGGAGGAGCAAGATGTAGTACAACTGCTGCGAAGCCTGCCTCATGTTCTCCTCTATGAAGTCGTCGATCTGGACTGAGGCCTCGTCTGCACTCTCTGCCAGCCGCATCCCTGCCAGCAAGTCAGCGTTCACAACGCCACAGTACGCCTTGAAGATCTCCTTCCAATCGTTCCACTTGTGCTCTTCGCCCATGAACATATCTGGCTTGCCCAGCGCGCGAGTGTCCACGAACGACTCAGCTCGAGGCTGCAGCACAAGCCCTTCCACCCGTGGTCTAGCCCAGGCCGCGCGGCCGAGCCGCTGCACCTCGGCCGTGAAATCGTAGCTCCTGAGCAATTGCCCGCATCTGCTGCTCTAGAGCGTGCATGCGCTCCTCCGCCATTTCAGCGGCGGTTCGCGCGCAGCTTCGTGAAATCCTTCAGGTGCTGGCCCAGCGCCGCCCAGGTCCTCCTGAGTCTGAACAGCTTGCGCAGCGACCGCGCCACTCTCCTCCAGCCACGATGGACCTCGAGGAGCTCCCACTCGTCGCCGCTGCCTCCGCTGGGCCCGGCCGGCCCTGCTGCGGCTCCCGCGCCGGCGGGCCGCCCCAGGTTGCCGGGGCTCTCCGCGCCGCTGGCGGGAGCGGGGGCCGCGGAACCCGACCCCGTAGACTGGGAGGGCCGGGGCCACGGCTCCGCTACCATGGCGAGATCTTTTCTTCGGATGCTTGACTTGATGAGTAGAGCCCAAACGTCAACATACAGACTCTCTTACAGTAAACCTGCTGGGGGTCTCTGGATTCCTGCATGCCCAGAAACCAGAGTCCCTCCATAACTCTGAATGATTAGTACTTCAACGTCTTGCCTGCACGTGTTTCACCAGTCGATCAACAAAAAAACACGCGGGCCGCCGACGCGCGCTTGTCGAACACGTTCAACAACCAACACGCGCCCACCAACTGCTCACAGCACCAATTCCAACACACGTCGGCACGCACATTTGAAACCGTGCGAAGCCACACGCACACACACATATATATTTATACACATGTATATGTATATATGTATATATGTATATATACATATACAATACACGTATACAGATATACACACATATAAACATATATTTATATATGTATGTAAGTATGTATGTATGTACATATACACATACATACACACTAGAACCACGCACGTGCCACGAGCGCGCGCTCAGGTTCTAGCCCACTGCGCAATCGTTGTCAATAGACCTTGTGCTAACCCACGAAATCCAAAGTACGAGGGTGCGCCGCTGGATCTCCCCAGGGGGGGGGGGGGGGGGGGGGGCCTTCCCCGATCCGTCGTCGGGGACCCCTCTCCCCGATCCGTCGTCGGGGAAGCCCCCCCCCTTCCTCGATCCGTCGTCGGGGACCCCCCCCCCCCTCCCCCCTTCAAAAGGGGAAGGGGGGTTCCGAACCCCCCTCCCCTCCCGCCCCTTTGCCCCCCCCCCCTCTCCCCCCCTTTCGCCGCGCCGCCCCCTGACTCCGGAACCCGACCCTTGCCACCCCTACCCCTAGTCCCCACCCTAACCCGAACCCCTAATCCTAACCCCAACCACTAACCCCAGCCGCAAAGAGTACTCACTACTCATTACTCACTACCCACTTCTGACTGCTCGCTATTCGCTACTCACTTCTCACTACCCCCTGCTCACGGCTCACTCCTTACTATCCACTACTCACTACCCACCACCCACTACTCGCTACTCACTACTCCCTACTCACTACTCCCTCCTCCCTACTCACTACTCACTCCTCACGATCCACTACTCAATACTTACTACGCACTACTCACTGAGCACTAATCACTACTCCCTACTCACTACTCACTAACCACTACTCATTATCCACTACCCACAATCCACGATTCACTACTCACTACTCATTACTCATTGCCCACAAATCGCTGCTCACTACCCACTACTCGCAACTCGCAACTCCCTACTCCCTACACAGTACTGGCTACACAATACTCAGTATTCACTACTCGCTACTCCCATACTCGCTACTCACTCCCCGCTACTCACTACTCACTACTTACTACGCCCTACTCACTAGTCACTACATAATCTCTCGCTACTCACAACTCATAACCACGAGTCTCTACTCACTACCCACTACTCACTAATGGCTACTCACTACCCACTATTCGCTCCCCACTTCTTACTACTCACTGCTCACTACTCCCTACTCCATACTCCCTACTCACTACTCGCTACTCCCTACTCGTTACTCACTTCTCACTACCCACTGTTCACTACTGACTACACTCTATTCACTGCTCACTACGCCCTACTCGCTCCTCACTGCTCACTACTCGCTACTCCCTACTCGCTACTCACTACTCACTACCCACTGCCACTACCCACTACTCTCTAGTCGTCACTACTCACTACTCACTACTCACTACGTACTACTCGGTACTCAGTACTCAGTACTCACTACTCACTACTCGCTACTCACTACTCACTACTCACTACTCCCTACTCCCTACTCCCTACTCCCTACTCACTACGCACTACGCACTACCCACTACTCACTAAGCAGTGCTCGCCACCCACTACTCACTACCCACTACTCACTACCCACTACTCATTACTCCCTACTCCCTACTCAGTACTCACTACTCGCTACTCCCTACTCAGTACTCACTACTCGCTACTCACTTATCAGTACATACTACTCACTATTCACTACTCACTACTCCCGACTCCCTACCCCCTACTCGCCACTCACTACCCAATACTGACTACTCGCTACGCACTAACTCACTATTCACGACTCACCACTCCCTACTCCCAACTCCGTACTCCCTACACACCTTCTCCTGCGCAGAAAAGAGAAGCGAGAGAGGCCCCCCCCCCTCCCCCCCCTTTCCAGCGCCAAGGGGGGGAGGGGGAGTCGGACCCCCCCACCCCCTTAAGGGGGGAAGGGGGGGGGGGGGGGGGGGGGGGGGGGTCCGAACCCCCCCCCCTTAGTGTATCCAGGGAGATCCACTGGCGCACTTTCCCAAAGTACCCTGTGAGAGGTTCCCCAGGCAAGGGCCGCCCTTGCGTGGAGGTGCTGGGCCTTCTGGGGGGCTTAGGGCTCGGTGGGCGGTCGCGGAGCCGTGCGATGATCGACGTGCGACGCGTCGGAAGGTTCCGAATGTTTCCCACACTGCGCAAGTGCTGTAACTGCCCGAGTGACCGAGGAGAGCCCCAGAAACTCTGGGCCGCCAAGCCGTCGCCGCCGCCGTCCCCGCGGGAGCCGCCGCCGCAGCCGCCGCCGCCGCCGTCGCGATGATCGTCGCGGTGGTCGTCGTAGTGGTCGTGGTGGTGGTGGTCGTCGTCTGAGGACGTGAACGGACGATTGCACGATTTGGGGCGTGTTTTGCCTTTCCGGGGCCTCCAGATTCTGGAGATCTGTGGGGCCCCGAGTGCCTCCAGAAACCTCCTGAAACTATTTGAAACTCCCACAGGCCTCCACGAGAGCTTTTGGGGATAGCGTGGGAGGGTCCAAAGGGGCACCAAGGGAACTCCCAGGGAGGCATCAAAACCCCAACAATTCAACACACACACACATACACACATTTGACACGCCGCCGTCTTTGACCAGGAAGCGGTTTGTGTCAAGTTTGTGTTGCATTCGGGGCTCTCTTGGGGCGTCTTGGGCGCCTCTAGGGCCATCTTGAGGTTCTCCTGGGCAGTCTTAGGGGTCCTCTTGGGGCCCGCTTGGACCGTTTCGGGGCGGTCAGGGGGGAACGCGGGAAGCTCGAAAACTCGAGACTTTCGAGAACACAGACAAAACTATGGAATATCATCTGGGGAGCGCTCACGGAGACCTCTTGGGCCGTCTGGGGGCATTTCGGGGCATCTGGGGGCGTCTGGCCGAAGGTGACCCAAGGATTTCCAGGGGGGGGGGCCCGCCTCTAGAGCGCCCCTGACGAGGCCCAGAGGGCCCCAGGGGCTCCAAGATTGAGCGAAAACCTGGGGGCACCTTGTGCCAGGGGTCCCTTGAGCAATCCCCGACCCAGACATGCTCGCGTCCTGGAAAAATGAGGGCGAGGTGCGCGGCCGGCTTCGGCCCCTCAGGGCCCTCGCCGTGCCCCCGGACCGTCAAAGAGCGGACCCGGATGAAATGCTGGCCCTGGGGAAAGGGTCGACGTCGCGAAAAGATTGGGTCAGGGGCTCTGGTTGCAATTTGTCGCGCTGTTGTTGATGGGGTCGGAGGATGGCGCCGCATCGCCACTGCATCTCAGATGCATCGACGATGCGTCGGCGACGTCGGCGATGCATCGGCGCCGCCGGCGGGGAGAACATCGGGATCCACGTCGAGCCGCATCGCGGTTGTTCCGGCGGTGCGGCGCGATCCTCCGACCCCATCTATGCTTGTTCGGCCCAAAACACAAATATCGGACGACCCTGCGATCTGGGCGTCGCATTTGTTTCACACTGTGCGTTTTCGCCCAGCCTCGGGGCTCGGGACCATCACGGATCGATCCGGCTCAAAAAATGGTGAAGCTCCAGTTGGAAAAGATTTTAGGGTTCTTGTGTGACCCGTTTTTTTTCCGGGTAACGGTCGTCACCCGGGGGGGGGGGGGGGGTCGGGGGGGGGGGGCAAGGGTAAGGGCGGCCGCGGCGTAGACCCGTCAGGGTGCGTCCGCGCCGCCAGCGCATCAATCGCCTGCGGGTCCCAAGCATGCGGGGGGCGGGTCGAGCCACCTCCCCTCAGTGGCGGGGCCCCTGCAAAACCTGGACCCAGGCGGCGGCCGACATAGACCATGAGCAGGGTCGGCATCAACAAATACCGCGACATCTTGGCCATGGTTTCCGTGTTCCTTGCCTGGTCTTTGGGCCCTACTTGGGAGGCTCGGAGATTGCGAGTTCGGACCGAGGCGCTGCCCTGTGCAAGGTCACTATGGGGCCTCGCAGGGGGCCCGGGAGCATGAGTGCCGCCTCCATCGACAAGAAGAGGAGGAGTAAGAGGCGCACGACGAGGGGAGACGGGCTGAGGCAAGACAAATAATAACAACATCGAGGTCATGGGGGGGAAGCAAGAGGCGGGGGACGAGAAGTGATAACGTAGCCCTACCCAGCTGCTGCTATTCCCTCCCGTCTTCTCTTGGTTCTCCCTGTCTGTTCCTCCTGACTCTCCGCTTTCGTCATTCCCTGGCTCCTACATCAATCTTTTCGTGTCCCATTGGTTTCGTAACTCCTTTTCCTTCCAGAAAGCTCTGCCCCCCCGCGGATGTGGGCCGTCCTGGGCCATTTCTGGCACCGCTGTCCCGGGCCTGCAAGAAACTCCCAGGAGGGTTTCAAGACGGCCCACGACGCCTTCGAGACAACCGACGAAGGTCACAAGGCGTCCAACGACGATCCCCGATGGACCTGGGCGTTGGGACCACGGAGAAGCCCACGAAACCCACCGAGACAGGCTCAAACAGGGCCTACATGGAACCCCCAAAGGGGCGCCAAAGGAGCTCCCACAGCGCCCCCGGAACCCCAAACATTTAATACAAATCTGACACAGCACAAATTCGTGTTAAACATATGTTGAATTGGAGGGCCCTCTTGGGGCCGTCTCGGAACTCTCTTGAAGTGCCGTGGGCGCGTCTGGGGCCGTCTAGGGGTTCTCTTGGACCGTTTTGGGACCCTCGTCGGGACCTCTCGGGGCGGTTTTAAGGGCCTC